GATGTGATAGGATGTCATGTCATGTGTTGTTATATCCTCTGATGTCATGTCATATGATGACATACCATATGTAATGCCATGTCATGTCATACGCATCTATAGGCATCTTTGTTTTTATTCTCAAACCGCTGAGAACCATTTCGGCGTGCATTATTCCCCTTGAATTTGACAATTTACTCCCAACCAACCAACTGCCGCTACAGAAGTTTCACTTCGAAAGTCAAGAAATTTTCTTACACTAATTCGTCTTTATCTTCACTTTTACCTTCTTTTTTTTAACTTCATCATTTCATTTCATTTCTTCATCTTCATATTTATCTTTATTTCAAAGCTTAATTTCAAATGTGAAGTGAAACCACATGCGAAACATGTCAAATTGAACATGTTGCAGCAACATCTATACACAAATACGGAAATGTTTAAACGACGGTTTAGGCCGTAATTTTCAACCAATTCTGAAACCATACAAACTCTGCTACATCTACAGAAAAAAACCTTTCCATTGGTGTTCTTGGTTTGGAAAACGGTTCGGTAGAATCACCAAGCGAACGGAGACAAAATTCATGTTAGCGTATTAAAATATAGATTTCTTAGAACTCCGCACCCCACGGGGTGCTATTCATCGTGAGGGAGAATGGTAGTTAGTCGCCGCTGCTATGCCGCAGCTATTCCAGGGTCCTTAGCCCCTTCATCGGCTCTGCTAATACATCACATGCTGCCGACCATTTTTCAATGCTCAAGCCTGAAACACTCGCCGGATAGGTTTCGAAGTTTGCATCTAGTACTGTCAAATCGCATACACTAAAAAAGATGTTTTCTATTACTTCTCCTCCTAAATCGAAACATTCACGATTGTAATCATATTGTAATGTATGAATATATTTGGTAGTACATATGTAGCATGTCATATTATTGTTATGATTTTGTTAAACGGTATGGTGTTCAAAAATGTTTGCACAAGGCTTTCATGAAGTTTCATGACCATTTAGGTACTTTGGCTGTCGGGATATTTACATTTTTGTTGCACGGGATACATTTGTACCACATCTTTTGTACATAAGAATTAATGTAATGTTGATGAAAAGGGTGTCCTTTTTTAACCATTGCTTTTGTTCCATTTAGCTTTTTTTAGTTTTTTATTTGGCCAATCTAGCTTTTTTATTTTTGAAGTTCTGGCAACACTGCACCTAAATAAGAGCACTGTGTTGCGCTTGTCGGCTTGTTTTCTTCTAATATGAACAAATTAGGTTCATTCCTTATCTTTTTGGACTAAAATCTGAAAAGTGTCAAAATGCCAGAGCGTAAGCAAAATGCGCCCACTAAAAGAGAATAACAGGAAAAGTAAAGGAACGCAAAAAACCAAATTTTTAGTCCAAAGAATGGCAACAACAAAGCTAACGTCAAATAAGAATGGAAATGTATGTACAAAACACATTCACACAAGCACAAGCACAATAAACACTTACTATATCAATTATTTTTTGCCTCCTTCCAATTTCAATTCACTTTTTTTACTTTTTAGATTATTCTCACTTTTCGCGTATTCTTTAATTTCCGTTAATTTAAATTTAGTTGAGTTTGACACTTTTCAGGATTTCGCCAGAAAAAATTCTTCTGACTAAATCTGACTACTTCGGACTGATGAGAGTCACTCTCACTGGGTGTTGCTCTCTCATTTTAGCTGTCATTTCCGAGTTAAGGAACGCTTTTTGGACTAAATCTGACTACTTCGGACTTTTTCTGACTATTTCTGGGAGATAAGGAACGCTCCTATTGTATGTGGCATAGCCCGAACACAATGAAAACGACGAGCTACGGACCACAGCTGTCATATTATTTTTCCACGTATTCTTATGTAGTTAATTATTTTGGCGACGACAGGGCTACGCGACGACTGTGGGTGTGGCCAGATTAGTTCTATGTATTTCTATTTTTCCACCGACAGATAAGGCTATTCCTCTTCTTTTACGTCAAACTCATACAAATTCGTGATGTCACTGCCGCGTTGAAAAAAATATTATACCGACAAAGCGTTTAGATAATGAAGATAACACATTGGAAGCTGTGGCCCGTAGCTCGTCGTTTTCAATGTGTTCAGCACTTTACAAGGATACACTATTTTTAGCGTAAAACGGTGTTCACACGACGCAGTTTTAGAGGCGATTAGTTTAATCAAAAGTTGGCTGCCCCTCAACCAGGCGATTGTTGCTTTCAACTAAAAGTTGCCACTAAAATCGCCCCATGTAAACACCGTATAACACTCAACGCGCTAATTTGGGGATAGCTGTTAATCACTATTGTCAATGCATTCTGAGATAAACTTGTCGCCTTCTGAAGTGATTTCATAAGGCACATACATACATATCAGGGTTGTTGCGAATATTATTCCGAAATAAAAGTTCTTTCCGGATAATAAACAAACCGCTTATCCAAATTAAACAAATTTGGTAACAAATGAAAAAGGATCTAAATAGCTTTAAAACTGAAATGTCTAAACGAAGAAAGCCACATATTGAAAAATATTTCAATAAAAAATGTTACCTAATTACCATAAATCAAATCTTGTGTCAGGTATATGCTTTTCTTTAGTATTAAATTATAAAAAAATATAAATAGAGGTCGTTCGCTATTTCTGTTTAAAAGCTATTTCAGTCCTCTTTCATATGATACCAAATTTGTATAATTTGGACAGGCGGTTTGTTTATTAAGCGGAAAGGACTTTTATTTCGGAAAAATATTCGCAACAACCCTGATACATATGTATGTAGCTGGGCTTATCATCAAAACCGCTAACATCGCCTTCTTTGACACTTTCAATAGAATTCATAAATTCGTGCATCTGAAACTCGTTCAATGCGGACAACTTTATACGTCTTTTACCGCTATATGCCATTCACTAGATAAGTATACAAATAATGTGAAATAATGCAAAGGAATTGAATAACATAAACTTCAATGCAAAAGAACAATAAATTAACATCAGAACCCGCACGAGTGCAATGAGGCACTCTTCAGTTTTTTGCTTCTAATTTCACAATTTCATGATTTCGATAATCAAAGAGACTATAAAATATAAGCATAATATCTTACCTTTAGGTTAGCGGCTCTATTCTGTATCAGTATCGGAAAAATATATGAAAAAGTTTAAATTTGTCAGTAAAAAAAGTTTTGTCACAGCATCGGCGTAGCCATAATGAAATTTAAGGGAGGAGAGGGGCTCAACCCTCTACCTGACTACGCCCATGTAAACTAATAGCCGAAAAGCATTCCAATCTTCAAGAATCTTATGATTTTTATTCTTTTTTTTATTTTTAGGCGAAATGTCGAAATAAGGGATGAGTGCCTTGAGGCACTCTTACCGGTTAAAGGGTTTACCCGGCCACTGGTTATTTCGACAAATTAACCCTCTGTTAGACGTTCGCTTCTGGAGTAAAGAGTTAGTATTTTGAATAAATACCAACAATTTTCAGCTAAATTAAAATTTCATCTAAACTTACTTAAAAAATGCATTTAACTGTGTATACAATCATCAGCGTAGCCAGAATGAAATTTAGGGGGGGGCTCGACCCTATTAAGCTGGCATTTCAGGGTACTATTTTATATATATATAAGGAAAATTTGAAAGTTAGGGGGGGGACGGTCGAGCACCCCCCTGACCCTACCTGGCTACGCCCATGTATACAATCGAATATGCATATGTACATAACCAGGTATACATATGTAAGTATGTACATTAGACCGTCCAAAGTCAAAGTTTTTTTTTACGCATACCCCCTCATTTTATTGGATTTGTCTTAAAAACTATCCGAATCAAATTTTTAGCAATTCGGAAAGTTATCAGAATAAGATTTCATTTTACTTCTGTATAAGACGGTATTACTATATTCCCTGCAGTATCAGTGATGCCAGATTGTGGGTAATTTCCCTATTTGAGGGATATTTTGCATCAAAAATTATTAAAAGGGAAAAAAGGAACACTTCATATAAATAAGGGATTTTCTTTTGACGCAGTTATTGTTGCATAATTGATCAAAATTCAAGAATATTCGACATTCTTACGTAATTAATCGTTCTGAAGATGTGATGTGGAGTGAAATGGTATATAATTGTTAAAAAGTATAAGGACAATTTCGAAAATTTTCTTACGTTAACCAATTCAAGCGCTGAGTAAGAAAGAATCTTTTCCTTTGTAACTGGTGTTTCATGTAAAAAGCGGAACAAATTATCTGATGAAATGTTAAATAGCACATGAATGTGCTTCAATTTTAAAGTCACGAAAAAATTCTTTTAGGCCCTTAGTGAGTGGGCAAAAAAATGAAAGGGAAAAATCGAATGAGTGCAAAAATGCAGAAAAGGGGGTTTTTTCTTAACAGCGGTCGGCCATCGACAGGCAATGGCAAACCTGCGAGTGTATTCCTGCCATGAAAAACAGCTTCTCATAAAAATACACTCGCCATTCGGAGTCGGCGTAAAACTGTAGGTCCCTCCCCTTTGTGTGACATCAAGGGGACCGCCACAAATTGGAGGAAAAGCACATATGTGTAAGCGCCAAACTATTATTATTATTTTATATGAATTTTACTTCTTTACTACTGAAACATGTACATGTTTAAATTCGTTGGGAATTTTGTGGGATAAATTTTCAAGATGTGGGTAATTGAGGGATTTTTTCCCCATTTCCGTGGGATATTTAACAGAGAATGTCTGGCATCACTGTGCAGTATTACGGCATAATATTTAGTAAATCTGCGTGTTTTGGTTTTTTACCAGGTATTCAGGATTTTTTCCAATGAACCCTTAATTTGTATATAT